CCAGAGGGAGAGAAGAAAGATAAAAGAACAGAAAGAATATTTGAAGAAATAATGGTAAAAACTTCTTAAGTTTGGTTAACATTAATCTACACATCCAAGAAGCTCAGTGAACTCTGAGTAGGATAAACTCAGAGAGATCCACACCCAGACCCCTGGCAAACTGCAAAAGACAAAGAATCTTGAAAACAGCATGAGAGAAGTGACACATTATATACAAAGGAGGCTTAAGATTTACAGCAGTTTCTCATCAGAAACCATGCAGGCCAGAAGGCAATGAGAAAAAAACATTCAAAGGGCTGTCAGGAAGCCTATCAACCAGCAATTTTATATACAGCAACTCTATGCTTCAAAAATGAAGGGTAAATTAAGACATTCCAGATAAACAAAGTCAGGATATTCATCACTGGCAAAATTTCTTCATAAGAAATACCAAAGGGAGTCCTTTAGGATGAAATGAAAGAAGAGTAGACAGTAAGTCAAATTCACGTGAAGTAATAAAAGTCACCATTAAGGTGCTCAATAGATGCAGAAAAAGAATTTGAAAAAAAAATCCAACACCCTTTCATGACAAAAACACTCAACAAAGCAGGAAGTGGAGGGAGCTTTCTCAACTTGTGTGTTTCCAAGTTGTTTCTTGCATTTACTATTAATAGATACATGGCATCTAGTAAAACCCACAGTCACCACTGTATTTAATGGTGAAACACTGGAAGTTTCTCCTTAAGATCAGGAAAAAGACAAAGCTTCTGCCCTTCCTAATTCTATTCATCACTGTACTGGAAGTTTTAGTCAGAAACTAGGCAAGAAAATGAACTAAAAGGCATTCAGATTAGGAAAAAAGAAATAAAACTATATTTTCAGATGCCATGATCTTGTATGCAAAAAATCCTAAGGAATCAACCAGAAAACTAATAGAGTAAGCAAGTTCAACAAGGTTGCCATATACAAAATCAGCATACAAAAATCAATTACATTTCTATATGCTGGCAACAGACAACCTGAAAATGAAGAAAACAATTCAATTTATAACATTAAAAAGAATAAAATACTTTGGAATAAATTTAATTAAAGAAGCTCAAGATCAGTACCCTGAAAACTATAAAATATTGAAAAAAATTAAAGACCGAAATAAATAGACTACTCCTGTTCATGGACCAGAACACTTAATATCGTGTTCAGATGGTAATACTTCCCAAATTATATACAGATTCAACAAAACCTCAATCAAATTGCCAAAGGACCTCTTTTCTGCAGAAACTGACAAGCTAAATTTGGTATGGAAATACGAGGGACCCATAATCGCCAAAATAATCTTGAAAAAGAAGAACAAAGTTGAAGCACTCACAAATTCTGATTTCAAAATTTACTGCAAAGCTACAGTAATCAAAACTGGTACTGGCTAAGGACAGACATATAGATGAACAGAATAGAATTGAGAATCTAGAAGTAAACTCACTTTTATGGGAAACTGATTCTCAATAACGGTGTCAATTTAATGGGGAAAAAAGAATCTTCTCAACAGATGATGCTGGGACAACTGAATATCCATATGCAAAATAATGAAGTTGGAAACCTTCTTTGCACCAGATACAAAAGTTAACTCAAAAAGGATCGAAAGACCGAAATGTAAGAGTTATAAGTATAAAACTCCTAGAAGATATTACAGGTATAAATCTTTGCAGCCTTGGATTAGGCAATGGTTTCTTAGATGTGACACCAAAGCACAAGCAACAAAAGGAAAAATGGTGAAAATGGACAGAAACTCAATAAAAATAAAATACATAAGAGAATAATAGAAAGTATTTGCAAGTCATATTTCTAATAAGAGTTTAATATCCAGAATACATAAAGAGCTCATACAACTCCATAATAAAAAGACAACCCAATTTAAAACCGGACAAAGGACTTGAATAGACTTTTCTTCCAGAGAAGATATCCAAATAGCTGCCCCCCAAAAAAATTCAACGATGGTGAACATCATTATTCATTAGAATAATACGAATCAGAACCACAATGAGATACAACTTCACATCCATTACAATGGCTATAAATAAAAGGCAACACCAAATGTTGGTGAGAATGTGGAGAAACTGGAACTCTCATATGCTGCTGATTGGCCTGGAAAATGGTCTAGCCACCTTGCAAAACAGTTGGGAAGTTCCTTAAAAATTTAAGCATAGAGTTAGTATACGATCCAGCAATTCCACTCCTAGGAATATACCCAAGAGAATAAAAACCATATTTGCACAAAAATCTACATACAAATGTTCAGAGCAGCATCATTTGTAATAGCCAAAAAGTGGAAACAATCCAAATGTCTATAAACTGATAGATGGGTCAACAAAATGCGGCACCTCTATACAGTGGACAATTACTCAACGATAAAGAGAAATGAAGTACTGATAGCTGCTAAAACATGAATGAACCTTGAGAACTATGTAAGTGAAAGAACCACAAGTCACGTGGTTCCATTTATACGAAATGTCCATAATACGGAAGTCCATAGAGAGATGAGTAGCTGCCAGGGGCCAGAGAGAGGGAAGGATGGGACGTGACTGCTGATGGGCATGAGGCCTCTTTCTGGCGTGGTGCAAGTGTTCTGGAGTTAATGGCGATGACCGCACCACTGTGAGTATACTAAAAGCCACTGAATTGTATACTTTAAAAGGTGAATTTTATGGTATAGTATCTTAGTGAAAATAATAAATGAAGCAATTTCCAACCGATTTTATCTGGAGTCAGAGGAAGGTGTGGGATCCCGGGAATCCCAGAGGCTCCTGGAAGTGGAGGCTGGGACAGCAAGGGGTCTGGTCCTGAGTCTCTAAAGCCAGGGTCTGCAGGAGCTGTCGTCCTCAGAAAACCTTCCCAACTATCAGTGGCATCCATTGTGACCTCTTGTTTGCCTCTGAGGAGCCAAAATTCATCTTGTTTTGATGAGGTGCCAAATCTTCACCACGAAGCAGGACAGACATCCTCCCTGGAGCAAGCCAGAATCCCGTCAGCACTTTCTTTCTTGACTGATTTTGTGCCCAGAATATCCCTTTCATCTCAGAAGAGCTGGCTTAAAGCTTTATGTCTGTGGGACTGGGCAGTCCCCATGTAACCAAATGGTCTAGCCTGAAAATGAATTTTAAAACTTTTTTTCCTTTTTCTTTTGTTGCCCTAGTCTCATGATGCAGAAAGCTTACTGCAGAAAACTTGTTCTCCTTAGTCTTAAAATATAACCTTGAAATGTACTTTCAACACCATGGTCTCCCTTTCTCACCACGCACCCCCTAGCCCCATGCACATTTATCTAACTGTGTGCTGGTATTTAATTATGGGCTTACTTACACATTCTAGGGGCTCATCTTGAGATAGACCAAGCATAGAGACCCAGCTGCAAAATGCCAGAGATCCCCTGAAGGTGGTGAGTCTACAACCAGCCATCAAGATGACGCCACCCCACGCTCCAGGTGGGCCACAGCTTGAGACAGCCACCAGAACGAGACCCTGAGACCTCGAGTAGCACCCCTCCACGTGCCTCCTATTCTGAGTTCCTCTTTTTAAGCCCCTCTCCCCAGCCTAAAGTTGGAAGCACAAGTCAGCCACTTCCCCACTGCTAGCTTTGGAAATAAAGTCACTCTCCCTTCATTTGTTATGGGTTTTGCAAGCGGTGAGCAGCCGAGCTCACACTTGGTTCCATCAGCAGGGCACTACTCAGAAATTTCCATCAGTCACTCATTCCCATCAGTCACTAACGTTTCCTGACTTTCTAAGCCCTACTAGGTACAGGGAATGAAGAGGACCTGGTGCCTGGTCTCTGAGGGCTCAGTCTAGTGGGAAATGCAGGAGAAAGAAGTAAAAGCAAGAAGAAATGGCCCTGAGCTGCACAAAGTCAGGGGCCTTTACTCACTTCGGGGTGCTGGGGGTGGAGAGAAGAGTGGCCTAGGACAGGGAGGGTTTGGAACGCATCTCTAAGGAAGCCTAAAGCCATGAGAGATCATCGGCCACATCCAGCATCTCCATCGTCAAGGGCTGCACTGTTCCCTCCCAAGGGCGCGCTGTGCAGGCTGATCCCCTCTATGCTGCTGTCCGCCCCTCCCCACGCAGCACAAAGAGCCCCTTTACCCTCATTTCCAAGAGGGGCCTCCACAGGACAAGGAAACACAGGAAGCTTCCCGTGGGCCTTGATGGGAGTTTGGAAATGAGAAGACCTCAGCAGCGCAGAAGGCCAGCATGCCCACAGGTGAGAATATGCCGAGGAGGTGGGGCCCAACGCCCTTCATGCGCACGCCATCCTGGTTTCTTAACTTCCTCCCATCTCCCTTCGAACACATTTTACAACTAGCCACGGTCCCTTGAAGGGCGCGCCTCCCTCTGGAAGCCTTCATGGGGATTGGGAGTGGCAGCGCCTCCAGCCCCCACGCCCCACACACTGGGTGCCTGTTGTCCTCATTTCACCCCCGTGCTGCTTGAGGGGCTTGAGGGGCTACCAGCAGATCTTCATGTGTGGTCTGGCTTCTAGTCCAACGTTGAAGCAGCCCACAGAGTCCCCAATCAGGGCCAAGCGTCTCTGCTGTCCTCACAGAGCCCATGGTGGACAAGGTCCACTCCACCCTGATGGGCTCACCCCACACCTGGCCACTGGCCCGGGGCCCTGCCAGCACCACATATTTCTGCAGCACTATTTCCTCAAATCCAGCCTCTGCAACCACCCAGAACGGCCAAATTCCTCCATGAAGGGGGTCTCCATCCGTCCCCGTCCCATGCCCTGCCCAGCCCATCTGGGAATGGAACTCCTCTGGTGGCTTACTTCACACTCACAGGCCCTCCAGCTCAGACCCCACTCAGAGTCTACTGCCCCCACTAAGACGGAGCAGAAGAGTGTGGCCAGAGAACAATACAAAGGTGTTTCCAGCAAACAGAGACCCCGGGGAAGGGAGACAGGCAGGGCGGCGGTCAGCACGGTCACCAGCTCCCTCGGCTTCCGCCGCAGGGTGGCCGGGATGGCTACTCACTGGGAACTGCTTTCTCGTAGCAGACGCCTTTGTAGAAGCAGCACCCGAGCTCCTTGCATCGGTCCCTGGAGACGTTGTAGTCACAAATGTCATGCAGAGGAATGTCACACACTGCAAAAGCACAGACACACACATGTGTCACCCCCGAAGACAAAGCCACCCCGCTCTCCGCTAAAGAACCTGGGAAGCGGTGTGGGCAGCAGCTGTGGGTTTGTGTTGTGGTTTTGTTATTTTCTAAATTATGCATCATGCAAATCTTTATTTGAAACTAAGATCCAGAATGAATTAAATTTCTGAGCAAAATAATGTCAAGTTAATTACACAGAATAATACAGGGCCCTCTAACGATTAGGAGATAATACGTTTCCGAGCAGCAGCGCCAGGCACGGCGCACGACAGAGCCCACAGAAGGCGCCGGGCTCACACAATGGGTACTTGGGAGTTCGGGAGCAACGTGTAATTATTTCACACTTAAGCGTATGGGAGTTAGAATTAGCAGCATGGGCTGAGGATTATTTCAGAATTTTAAAACTTGAATCAAAAGGACAGAAAGTTTAATGCCGGTTTTGACCCAAAGGGGAGACAATGAGTGTGCGGCGCGCCCTGGGGGGCAAAGGAAGCAGGGCGGGGACTACTCCTGGCAGACGACCCTTTCCAGCGGAGTTCAGCAGCCTCACACATGTTCAGCCCCGAGGGATGCGGCTCCCTTCATCGGCCGTGGGCCACTGAGGGACTGGGCTGGATGATGAAGGGGGTTCCTGCAGGTGAGGGCTCAGGGTGCCCACAGAGACCTTTGCCGGGTGGACTGCAGTCCCACAAAGCCGGGCTCCGTGCCCCAGGCCAAGGCTGCACCCAAGCCACTGGGGACCTTCCCTGGCACCTCTGTAAATTGTTCCTCCGGGACAGGGGCCAAGAGGGGAGCTGCCCAGCCTTCCTGACCCTTGAGGAACCTCATTTGTGGTCCTTGGGGTTGATTTAGTCTTTCAGGTTCTCCTTCCCAAGACACCCCCATTCCAGGTTTGCAAAAGCCGCGGCTGCAGCCCTCGCCCTCTGTCAGAAGCGTCCTGGACACGGGAGCCCTGCCGAGGCGATGCCCCACCTGCTAAGGTAGAGTGCACAGGGCAGGCCAAAGTCACCGGCTGCTGCCACCCTATCCTCCCTCAGTTGCATGGGGTGGCTGCGTGTGGTTTGTGCTGACCTCCCACGTGGGGAGCAGTCGGGGGAGGCCGGGAGAGGCCCCACAGCAGCAGGGAGGTCCTACAGAGCCAGGCTCAGAGGGGCCTGCGATGGGTGACTGGTCTCGGGCTGTGGCTGGACAGATGGTCCCCACGCTCTATGCAGCAGCCCATGTGTCTACAGCGGGTGACTAGGAGGGCTTTGCTCCCAGGGCGTCCAGGTACAACGGCCTTTTTCCTGGGGTGCAATTCCAGGATGGACACAGTACCAGAACCTCACAGACACCACCCACCGGCAGCTCCCGGAGAATTCAGAGTCCACCACTGCCTCCGCTTTCTGACGCGGATGATGACAGCAATGGCACAGCAAACACCTGCCAGTGCCAGGCTCGCGTCGCCCACAGTCTCCTCCACCCCACCAAATGCCCGCCAGTGCCAGGCTCGCGCTGCCCACTGTCTCCTCCACCCCACCAAACACCCGCCAGCGCCAGGCTCAGGATACTGCAGGCTCTTCCACCCCATCAGACACCAGCCAGTGCCCAGCTTGTGATGCCCGAAGGCCCTTACACCCCATCTGGGAAGATCTAGATGAAACCCAAGATCCCACAAGCTTGGATGCAGCGGAGCCAGGATCCACAGTGACCTCTGGCTTCAGGGTCCTGCTCTCACCACGGTGCCCAGCACCCTCCCCACCGTCCCCAGACGTGGGAGGAGAAGCCCCAGCAGTACAGAGACGTCTGCTCACAAAGCCAAGAGAACAAAGGTTTCTAAAGACTTGCGGTGACGGCGGATGTTTAATTTCAGCAAACAGCCTGGGCAGGAAATATGCCACTGAACAAAGCATTATTTTTATTCATAAAGTGATTTGTTTTCCTCAATATCACTCCACAAACGTTCATACATTATTCTCATTTTAAAAATTCGGTCCCCATCGCATCTGACCGCCAGCTGTCAAGTCCGGTCAGTCCTCCCTGCCTCCTCCCCACATCCCATTTTCCCTCCACACCCACCGTTATTTTCCCACATGCACCTCCGCGACGTCACCATGCATTTTTAAAATCCACTAGCCCCTGAAAAGCCTCTCACACATTTCCGTTCCTAGCCTGGCCCTCCACCCTCCTCCACAACCCATAACAGGCTTCGAGGTTGGAGTAAGGTGAGGCTTTTGGGGCAGGGACCAGGTCGCAGCCACCAAGGGGACCAAGGTGGGCTTTCTACATGTTGGGGGGTCGGCAGGGCTGACACAGTTGCCGAAGGGCCGAGGTGAGCTCTCCACGCGGTGGGGGGTCACCAGGGCTGATGCAGCTCCCTGCTCCCTCTAGAAACATCACTGGCAGCTCGCCCACTGCACAGGTACTGGACGCCCAGCCACTGGCACCAGCAGTGGTGTCTCCAGCAGGCCCTCCACGCCCCCCGCACCATAGCCAGGGCAACTTAAGCGTGGGGCTCACTGCCTGGCTCTCTCCCCGTGCTCTCCCAGAGTCATGACAGCGCGGCTGGGAAGGAGGAAAGGAGCCATCGGCTGGGCCGGGCTGTGGGACCGGGAGGCACTGCCTCAGGCTGGCAGGGCAACCCCATTCCTCCTGATCTACTGAAATGAGACCGGGGTTAAATCGATCAATCTAAAGTGAGCAGAGTGCTTCCTGGGAGAAGCCATCCTGGCTCAGGGGGGCCAGGTGAGATGGGGGCCCACGGAGTGAGGTTTCAAAGCTCGTCCCACGAGTCTGTCCCGTCACCCCATCTGCATGGAGAGCAAGCCCGGGAAAGTCACCGCTCCCCAGGGACAGTGGGGCTGCCATTCACTCCCTCGCTCATCCCACTTCCCACCGGCCACCACCTGGGGCTTCTAACGCGCCCACGCCAGCACAGCGGTCAATGTTCTGTTGTTTCTCTAAGGCCGTGGAAAGTCTTTTCACTCCGTATTTTGCTACTTCGGCAGCAGGAGAGGAAGGTTCAGGAGGGGTGTGGTGCCCAGAGAGGTGCAGGTCTGAGGCCAGGGCTTGCCAACCCAGGCAGCAAGGCGTCATCATTTGTAACGTGGCTGATGATCCAGGGAGGCAGGCATCGCCATTTTAAATGTGGCTGACAATTCCGTGGCGTTTCTACTTCCTGTGCTCCATCCGCCTCCCTTCCCCTCTCTCTGTGAAATGTACACTTGCAGGAATTCTTCCTAGGGAAGGAGCCAAGTCCAGAGACTCTCAGGGCAGCCCCAGGTCCTCGATCTAACTCCCCATCAAAGTCCCTCTGCCCCCTGGTTTCCCAAAGAGACAGTTGGTTAGCAGGGGACAGACCATGGTTGCCTCCTGGAGAAGCAGCCGGCAGACTCAGCAGCCGTGACCTCATGGCACCATGGAGGCTTCCAGCACTCCTGAGGCTCAGCCTCCCTGCTGGGAGCTGCTCCCCTAGAAAGGCAGGCATCAGGCTGGCCTCCAGGGAACACCTCCAAGCCACACTGCCCGGTGACCCAGTAGAATGTCCCAGCTCAGGGTTCCTGGCAGCGTGGCCACGGACAGCAAGACCCGACCACAGACAGGTTTCCAAAGACAGTCCAGGCAGGAAGAAAAGAGAAGATTCTGAGTACAGTGGTGACAGGAAATGTGGCGTGGGAGCTCCAGAGACATGCCTGCAGTCACGACTGCCACCAGCACCCAGGACCTTCAGTGGGCCTGGCCTGCACACCCCTTTCTGTCTGCAAGCTGTGACACCACCGGGAGTCTGGCTGCATGTGTCTTCACAGCAGATGTCATAAACAACGTAAAAATCTCTGAAACTGGAGACCCATTTTCTTGACACCGAGCTTGAAGCTGCATATCAAGTTATCTTAGGACAGAAGACGCCAGTTCTCCCAGAGTTTGAGCATCAGAACACGGAAGGAGAGGTGAGGAGGAGGAGGAGGAGGAGGAAGCTGGGCAGGGATCACAGCAGGTTCGGGCGTGGTGTGTGCAGAGGCTCATGTGTCCAGCAGTTCCTGCCTGGAGCGCGTGTGAACCATGGATGGGGATCTGGGGTGTGCAGGGCCACGGATCCCCGGGATTTGGACACAGAGAGTCCAAATATGTCCACAGACTCCTGAGGAGAAGCCAGTGGCTTCGAGTCCCCACTCTTTCATAAAAGTCACTCAGAGGAGAACACACACTGGTGTGGAAAGTGTATCACAGTTTAAAAGTGCTTTCGCGGAAACTATTTAGGGAGGGAGTTGACATTAATCTTTAGGCAGCAGTTGACAGCAGCTGAGGCTGCATCACCCCAGTAAGGCAAAGCCTCTGGCCAGGGATGAGCGGTCCCGCACACACCTCTTCCCCAGGGGCCGCGTGTCATCCTCCCATCCTCATTTCCACTCCTTCACCCCCAGGTCGCCCGCTGTCCAGGGCCATGTCAACATGGTGCCCTGGGAGCCAGCCTCAGGCCCTCACCTGCTATGGGGCTGTCTGGAGGCCCAGCTGCCTCCTGTCCAGGATGAGCGAGTGTGGACATGGGGAAGCCCAGCAGGGCTGCAGGGAAGGGGAGGCACGAAGGGCTCTGCAGCCACACGGGGAGAGGCTGTGGAACGGGTGGGCTTGGAGGCCAGAGTCTGCACTGCACCCGACCACAGAGCCTCTTCCGCATCTGCAAAGTTGTGCAGAGAAGGACAGGAGGAATTCCTCTAGGCTGCTTCTTGGGCTCAGACCCAGGGGTGGGCGGCAGAGAGGGCCTGAGCAGCAGGGCCATGGCCGGCCACTGTAGCTAAAGGTTCCAGCTCCCCACCTGCCCGCTGAGGCCACCAGTGGCGCAGACATCTGAGCCAGCTTCAGGCCAGGACAACGCCGGCCTTGTCATTTCACAGCTTCCCTACACCCCTAAAGGAACAGAAACAGTCACAAAACAGCCACGCCACAGTCTGCAAAGGATGATAAGGACAACACTTATCCTGCATTAACCTGCATGCATCCTTTTATTAACCCTGCATGTGTCCTTCAGTCACGAGGACAGGCTGTGTGGGGAGCACACAGGAGTGTCACATGCAGATGCCAGATGCTGGGGCCTGGGCATGGCCATGGCAAGGTGAGAGGACTCCAGCCCAGGGTCAGCTTGGGCTGTGCCTTGGGTGACCTGGCACACCTGAGATGACCCCCACCAGCCCCATGCTCCCTGAGAAGGGGCATCAGCCTCCAGCAGCCCCTGGCAGCCCCTCAGAGACGGGGTAGCCAGGCCCAGGAGCAGCCGCTTATACCCACAACAGCTGCAATGCTTGCAGCCCTGAAGCAGAGACCAGGAGGGTGACCCCCAAGGGCCTGAAAGAGGGACCGCTTTCTCCCCCTGTGCTTGCCCTGGCCACGGGGCCATCTTGCCAGAAGATGGGAGGGGCCACCCCAGCCGGCCACAAGAACATCCGCTCCCTCAGGGGCCCCAGGCGCAGGCCTCCCACTCTGCCCTGGGTGCATCTGGATCAGGAACTGCAAAGACCCCTCTTGTGGACACCCCTCTTCCTGTCCAAAGAGGCAGCTGCCCCCCGGGTGTGACAAAGCCTGGTGGCCGGGTGGCCTTGGAAAGCCTCACAGGCTGGCAGATGCCACACATTCCTGGCACCTGGGCTGCCCTCTCCCTTTGAGAGCTGCAGGGCCGGGTGCTGCTATGGGCAGGGGCTCAGCGGCTGCCAGCATCTTGGCCAGCCTGAGAGGCGCTCCCTAGCCTACCTTCCCAACAGAGGTAACAACCACAAATAACCTACTTTGTTTTCTTTTTCTTCCATTTTCTCGGTTTGTTTGTTTGTTTTTGAGATGGAGTCTCGCTTTGTCGCCCAGGCTGGAGTGCAGTGGCACAATCTCAGCTCACTGCAACCTCTGCCTCCCAGGTTCAAGTGATTCTCCTGCCTCAGCCTTCCGAGTAGCTGGGATTACAGGCAACCTGCCACCATGCCTGGCTAATTTTTGTATTTTTAGTAGAGACAGGGTTTCGCCACGTTGGCCAGGCTGGTCTGGAACTCCTGACCTCAGGTGATCCACCCGCCTTGGCCTCCCAAAGTGCTGGGACTACAGGCCACCACACCCGACCAATTTTCTTTTTTTTTCTTTTTTTTTAATTATTATTATAATAAAAGCATCTCATGAATACAAGCTCAATTGAGAAAAAAACGTTCAAGTAGCAGGTAAACCTGAGCCACAGAAGGTGGCATCTCCCACCTCTCCTGGGGAGGCGCGAACTTCCAGAATCTTCCTCTTCCTGACTGTAAGTGACTGTCACCTCCCCCCCAATCTATGCACACTAACAGCACATGTGGGATAAGTCACATCCCACACTGGGGGTTCCTTCCAGCCCCAGTGGTGAGTGTCTGCCTTTGGGTCAGTCGCCTGGGTGGGGAAAGGGAAGGGGGAGCTTCTTCATTGCTGATAAATATTTTTCCTTAACAAAAAAGTCACTCCTACAATAAAAGTTACGAAGTTAGTTGAAGTGGATCTTCAGCACCTCATGGACGGAATGCCTTTGGCCCGTAAACCCCCTGGAAATAGTTCAATGCGCTTCTTCAGCTAGAAAACCTCCGATTCGGGTGTACTTTGTAATACAATTTTCAAAAATGAAGACTTCACGGCGTTTCCCCAGGTTATTTTCTGAACACGCATTTTTCTGCCTTTCCCTCCTAACCAGGCCTGGGACCGGGACCCCCGTGCGCGCCAGGGGCTGAAACGGCTCCTCCCAGCGCCGCCCGCACCGCGCGCCTTCCCTCCTCACCTGTGAATTGCTTCAGGAGGTGCGGCGGCGGCTTCTTCACTTCCGGCACATATTTCATTGCCGCGGCCACGGGCAGGTGACGGGCGGAGCACACCCGGCGCACGGGGCGGTCAGACGGGGCCGAGCACACCCGGCGCACAGGGCGGTCCGCGCGGGCGGGGTCCGGGACGTCCGGGGCGCGGGCGGCTCGCGCCAGGAGGGGGCGTTCGTCGACTCACCTGCGCCCCGCGTCCCAGGCGGGTCCCCGCAGCCACCCGGGCCTCTCAGTCCCACTCCACGTGGGAAACACCTTTTAGGTTAAACAACCGACTGCCGCTCACTGTGGGCTGTGGGACCAGGCTGGGCACACCCCACCCCGCCCGCGCTGACATCACACAGCCCCGTGAGGTCACGTGGGCGTCACACAGGCCCTCGGAGCCATGCAGTGTCCACCTGAACACTGGCTGCATCAAGGACCAAGGCCTCTCGGATGAACAGATGTAGGGAGGGAGTTCCAGGGGCAAGACGCTGCTGGGGACACCACGGGCTGAGTCCCACCTTCCCTGCGGGACACCCCCGCCCCTGGCCCACCAAGTTTGTGGGTACAGGCGCTTGAGTCCTGACCCTCCCTTCCTTTGTGTCCTGGTCCTTCCTGGGACACCCCTCTCTGCCAGCCAGCACTGGGTGCAGCAGAGAACAAAACCAAATCCCTTCCCTCCTAGGGAGGGGACAGAGTGAGGTAGCTGCCTCAGACCAGACCCGGGCCATAGGCCAGGTCCATCAGGGCAGGGGTTGCCCCTTGCCACGGTGTGGGCAGGCGGCCTCCAGGGAGGAAGGTGTGTCTGGGGTTGACGAGGGAGCACGAAGAGGTCCTGGGTGGAGGCTGGTGTGGCGACTTGAGAGACACAAGGAACCCGGATGCCGCAGGAGGGCAGGGCATGGAACCACGTGGGTCATAGTGAAGATGGTGGCCTTTATTCTAAGCAAAGCAGGGAGTTACTAGCAGATTTTGTGCAGGGAAATGGAATCATTTTCACAGCATCACTCTGCCGTGCTGGAAACGGCTGTCGGGAGGTGAGTGAGCAGGAAGGATGGGATACTGGTGAGGAGGAAGGCAGGCGGCTGCCGGAGGGGGCTGCTGCTTTTTGTTGTTTGAGTTGAAGGAGTGGGCTGTGCATAGTGGTGTGCACCTGTAATCCCAGAATCTTGGTAGGGCAAGGCGGGAGGATTGCTTGAGACTGGGAGATCAAGGTTGCAGGGAGCTGTGATTGCACCACTGCAGCCCAGCCTGGGGAACACAGGGAGACACTGTGTCAATCAACCAATCAATTAATAAGAGTGGCGGACAGCTTGGATGTGGAGAGCAAGAGAAGGAACAGTCAATGGTGAGCCCAGGATGCTGTTGGGGGACTGGAGGCTGGTGCTGTGGGCGTCAGGTGGACAGAGACGTCCAGGGGACACGCCCAGGAGGGGGCTCAGGGTGAGGGCTTGGTGGACGAGGACACCAGCAGCTGGTAGTGAAAGCCACCAGCAGGTGCCGGAGCACCCTGGGGAGCAGCAATTGGAGAAGTAGCCCGGGGCCAGTGACAGGAGCAGGGGACAGCCCGGGGCCCGGCAGCTGTGGTGCTGCAGAGGCTAGAGGGCTATGTGGAGGCAGTGGGTGCCGTGTGGGGGTGGCCAGGTGAGCCCGCGAAAACGGGGGAGCTTCAGGGAGTGAAGTGGAGGAGGGGTCGGTGCTGTCAGGAGGGTGAGTGGAGTGGGGCTGTCCAGCCAGAGCTGGCACCCACTAGAGCAAGGGCAGAGGTGTGACTAAGGGGCCAGGTGCCAGGGTGCTGCTGGGTGACCTGCCACCTGTCACACCCGGCGGCCACCGAGGCAGGACTGGGGTGCTGGATTTAAGTGGGCTGAGGCTGGATTTGAGTGGGGTGCTGATGGACTCTAAGTTGGGAAAGAGCATGAGGACATCCCGGGGAGAGCAGAGGACGTGGGACGCTAAGCCCCTGGTGGACAGAGCGAGCTGGAGACAAAGCCACGATCAGAGTGGGGGTCCTGAGGGTGAGGGGGCAATGCATGCTCTATTCTGGATGAGGAGGAAGTCAAGGCTCTGCCCTGGGAACAGGCAGCTGAGGTTGCCCGAAGCAGGGATCAAGGAACTGGGCTGCGTGGAGATGGAATTGGAGTTGGGGGGGCCCCACCTCCAGGCCAGAGGAAGGGGCGCCCCAGGGGACGGGCCAGACTGCAGGGCCAAGGGTGCAGGAAGGAGAGAGGATCCTGAGAATGAAGGGCAGCTGCAGCCGGGGGCGGGGGCGCAGGAGGCGGTCAGCCCCAGAGGTATGGAGCCCGTGGCCCAGGCATCACAGGCTCTGGGGTGCAGCCTGAGGGGGGTCTCGGGTCCCTCCTCCTGCGCACAATGAGATAGAGGCAGGGCTCTGGCCCCCACGTCACCAGCCCTGTGACCTCCCCCTTGGGACCAGCCCTGCCCAGGTTAAAGGAGGGTGAGGACAAAGTCTCCCCGGCAAGCACCCCCTCATGCCCGATGCCCAGCACACAGTGGTGCCCATGACCAGGTGACCCTGAGGGCCATGGTGGGTTTCCAGGAATGCCCTGGGCAGCATTGCCACCATCCACCATGCAGCAAACACGAGGCTTCACCCGTGCAGAGGACACGAGGCTGCCTTTCTGTTTGATGTTCATGATGGTTTTATTGAAATATACGTCATGTACCACGAACTCACCCATCCAACGTGCAGTTCCATGGTGTTCAGTGTGTCCGCGATGTGAGCCTTCACGATCCACACTGGAACCTTTCATCCTCCCAGAGGAAGCCTGGCCCTCGGCCAGCCGCACGCTCTCACCCTAGGCAGCCCCCAGTCCACCTTCTGTCTCTGCAGATTTGCCCGTTCCGCCACTTTACATCCATGAGGTCACACGCGATGTGGGTTTGTGTGTCTGAATTTTCCATGTTGCAGAAGGTTCACCCGCCATGTCGTACGTGTCAGAGCTTCATTCCTTCTCACGGCTGAATAATATTCCACTGCAGGGACATGCCACATTTCGTTTAGCCGTTCATCTGTGGATGGGCACTGGGTTGGGCCAACATTTTGGCTTTTATGAATAATGCTGTTGGGAACACGCAATGTAAGTTTCTGTGTGGACGTGTATTTTCACTTCTCTTTGGTATATCCCTAGGAGTGGAATTGCTGGGTCACACGGTGGGAAGAACCCAGTATTTGTGTCCTCCCAACCCTCAAGGTGATGGGATGAGGAGGCGAGGCCTTGGAAGGTGACGAGGTCGTGAGGGTGAAGCCTCATGAATGGGAATCGTGCCCCCATGAAAGAGGCCCAGAGAGCTCCCTCGCCCCTTCTTCCGTGTGAGGACCCAGTGAGAAGGCACCGAGTATGAACCAGGAAGGGCCTTTGGAGGACAGCAAATCTCCCACATCTCCATCTAGAACTTCCAGCCCCCAGAAGTGTCAGTGAAAAGTGTCTGTTGTTTATAACCCACCCAGGCTGTGGCATTTTTGTTACAGCAGCCCAGATGGGCTATGACATACAGGAATTCTGTTTCACCCTCTGAGAACCTGCCAGGCTATTTTACAAAGTGGCTGCACCATTCCACGTTCCCACCAGCACTGCGTGCGGGCTCCCAGGCAGAGGCACGGTGCTTCTCTCTCCTGGGAACTGTCACCTACAGCAGGCACCAACCTGGGCAGCAGTCGGCTGGAGAACCACGTCATCAACGAGCTTCTGGGGAAGGAGTGGAGATGGATGAGCCTGCAGTGTGGTCATTGCCGGGATTGAGCCAGCACCGGGAAGCTGCAGGAGCCACTGGCTGGGGGCGGCAGGCACTGCCCCAGACTCATGGGGAGAGGGGTGTTCACCAAGGGCTTCTAGGGACAGGCCATGCCGTGGAAGAGTGAAATCCAGCGGGCCACAGGACGGAGCAGCCTGCATGGACTCAGCTGTCTGTATGGGTCCTGAGTCCTGCTCCCTCGTGATAACCAGTGATGACACTGACAGACACAATGTTAGCTAAGAGCAAGATGTGTGCAGGGGTAGACTGTGCGGGCTTCCCATGGGAACGTGTAGGAGCTGCCGTGAGGTTCTTTGGAAATAGGACAAGTGCCACAGGGACCCATTACTTCTGAGGACCCCTGACTATGAAGCTATTAACCCTGTGACGGACTTGGCTAACAACTTGAGCAAAGCACTCAGACCTGACTCCTGGCAGAGACGCTCTCCCAGGCTGAGGGCAGGGGATCTGGGGGGCTCCTAGATGGGTGTGAGTCCAGTTACTCCATCACTACAGGCTGAGCTGTGTTTCCTCAAAAAAGAGGTGTTGAAGTCCTAACCCCTAGGACCTAAGGATGGGGGCTTATTTGGAAATAGGGTCTTTGCCAATGTAATCGAGCTGAGGTTGTGAGCGTGGCCTTGTCCAATAGGACTGGTGTCCTATTAAGATGAGAAGACAGAGACACCAGGAGGTGTCACGTGCAGGCGCAGAGGCCCGGGGAGGGGACGGACGGCTGTGCAGCGACAGAGGTGAAGATGGAGCAAGGTGCCCGCAAGCCCAGGAACACGGAGGACTGCCAGCAGCCCTGGGGCGGGAGGGGCAGGAGGGCCCTCCCCAGAACCCTCAGGGGAGTGGGGGCCTTGCCCACGTCCTGACTTCAGATTGTGGCCACAGAGCCAGAGAGAAGAGAGCTCTGCTATTGGTGCCATGTCGGTGCTGCTGTGTGAAAACAGCCGCAGGAAGCAAGCACGCCGTGTTGACAACTTCACTGGGACAATAAACAGAGCAAAGATACGTCCAGACCTTCAACACCTGTCCCGTATTCCCATCAGAAAACAACCTCAAATAAAATAACACGAAGGCTTGAGGAGCAAGCCAGGTCTGTACACTGGAGACTGGAGGTGGGCCTGGGGTCAGACCAGAGCCTGTGGCCCCCACCCTGAGTACCAGGAGCTTTGATCCCTGTACCTTAGCATGGCCTTGTCTAGAAAGAGGGTTTCGGAGATGTGCTGCATTAAGGTGAGGTCAGATGGCGGAACCCTAATCCAATGTGACTGGTGTCCTTATGAAGGGGGCGAGTTGGGCCAGCCCCACAGGGTGCAGAGGGCTGAGGCGTCTACAGGCCAAGGAACCCCAAAGACGGCAGCAAACCAAGGAGCTGGAGGGGAGGCCTGGGCGGATTCTCCTGCACGGCCTCGGAGGGAGCCATCCCTGCTGACACCCTGAGCTTAGGCCCTGGGCTCCAGGCCAGGAGATGACACATTTCTGCAGTTTAGGCCATGCAGTCTGTGGGGCTTTGCTGGGGCCACCCCGGGGAAGGAGCATGGTTCTTGCTTCTAGGCACTGAAGAGAAGACAGCACAGCCGAGGACTCTGAGGGATGGAAACAGGGTGGAGCCCAGCTCTCCACTGGGGGTGCTTCCCTGCACGGTGTCCAAAGCGGGGCTGGCGAAGCATGGGGGCCCTGGAGGCCAGAGGTGGGGACTCACTGCAGGACTCCGCAGGGCAGGGACAGGGAGGAGGGGCTGGGGGAAGCCGCAGGCGGGTGCACTGGAGGGCCCAAGCCTGCCTCCCTGGCCAGGTGCTGCTGGGACATGCCCAGAGGGCACACTCAGAGAGCTGGAGTAAGAGGTGTATGTGTTCCCAGCCCACACACAGAGCCCCAGCAGAGTGGAGGCCATGCTGTGTGGGGAGCACCAGCTCCAACCAAGCCTCAGTCCAGTCTCCAGCTCAGTCATGCAGGAAAAGAGCAAAACCCACCAAAACTCAGAACTAAAACAATCCCCACTCCGCTCCCAGCAAAAATTGAGTGCCGACATGTGTGCCCCCCACTGACGGGAAGCAGACCACAGATTTCGTCCAGACATGTTAACAAACAAAACTCAAATAACCGCCCTCTGGAATCCAGAGTTGATGTAAAGTGTCCAGGAACACAGCAAGGAACAAAAGTAACCCATTTTCATTCTTAGGAGCAAATATAGGATACTTGGCATGTGTGTGGGACCCTTTCTAACTACAAGGACGTGACAACTCAGACTGAGATGCTCTGATGACGCAGTGTCATCGACACGCAGACACCATACACCCTAATATGAACTCTTGCTCAATGAACTTTTGGGAAAATTAATGTCTGCAAGTTAAATCTCCCTGCTTTTGCAAGCTGAGGCCCAAAGAAATAAAACTAAATTCAAATCTG